TGAACAACTATATGCCAATAAGCTGGACAATGTGGATGAAATGGAAAAATTCCTAGAAAAAATACAATCTTCCAAAACTGAATCAGGAAGAACCAGAAAACCCAAATAGGCCAATAACAACTGATAAAATTAAAACAGTAAAAAACAAACAAACAAACAAAAAAACTCCTGGCAAACAAAAGCCCTGGTATGGACGGCTTCACAGGAGAGTTTTACCAAATGTTAAAAGAACAACACCTATCCTCCTCAAACTATTCCAAAAAATTCAAGAGGAAGGAACACTTCTGAGCTCTTTTTATGAGGCCAACATTTCCTAACTTGAAAACCAGATAAAGACACTACAAAGAAAGAAAATTATAGGCCAATATCCTTGATGAACATAGATGCTAAAATCCTCAACAAAATATTAGAAAATTGGATCCAGCAATATATTAAATAGATTATACACCATGACCTAGTGGGATTTATTTCAGGGATGCAAGGCTGGTACAATATTCACAAATCAATAAATGTGATACATCACATAAAGAAACTGAAAGGGTAAAAAAATCACATGATCATATCAATAGATGCAGAAAAAGCATTTGACAAAGTCCAGCACCCATTTTTTATAAAAACTCAGCAAAGTGGGAATAGAGGGATCATACCTCAATATAGTAAAGACCATATATGACAAACCTGTAGCCAACGTCATACTCAAATGGCAAAAACTAAAACCATTTCTCCTAAGAACAGGAACGAGACAGGACTGTCCACTTCCACTACTCTTATTCAACTGGAAGTCTTAGCTACAGCGATCAGACAAGAAGAAAACTACCCTAGCTGGTTTGGCTCAGTGGATAGAGCGTCGGCCTATGGACTGAAGGGTCCCAGGTTCGGTTCCAGCCAAGGGCACATGCCTGGGTTGTAGGCTCGATCCCCAGTAGGGGGCGTGCAAGAGGCAGCCGATCAATGATTCTCTCTCATCATTGATGTTTCTATCTCTCTATTCCTCTCCCTTCCTCTCTGAAATCAATAAAAATATTAATTAAAATAAAAAAAGAAGAAAACATAAAAGACATCCAATTTGGAAGTGAGGAAGTAAAACTCTCATTATTTGCAGATGATATGATATTGTACATAGAAGACCCTAAAGACTCCACCAAAAAACTACTAGATTTAATGAATGAATTCAGCAATGTAGCAGGATACAAAATTAAAACCCAGAAATCAATGGCATTTTTATACACCAGTAATGAATTTTCAGAAAGAGAAACTAAACAAACAATCCCATTTACCACTGCAATAAAAAAAATAGGATATTTAGAAATAAACTTAACCAAGGAGGTAAAAGACTTATATTCAGAAAACTACAGGATATTCAAAAAAGAAATAGAGGAAGATATAAACAAGTGGAAGAATATACTATGTTCATGGATTGGTAAAATTAACATTATTAAAATGTCCATACTACCCAAAGCAATCTATAGATTCAATGTAATCCCTATTAAATTACCAACAGCATATTTCACAGATCTAGAAC